CACCCAGGGAATTCCTGGTGGGAATTCTGAGTGTGAATTGGTGCCCAGAGGCCAGTGGCAGGTGTCTCAGTCCATCATGGCTCTGAACTGCTGCGTGTACTTGGCCAGCGCCTCCGTCTGCTCCCGCAGCTCCCTGGTGGCCTCTGCGTTGGGATATTTGAGGGCTGCACTTTTGGTGGCCAGGGCCAGGTTCTTGAGGAGGCTGCAGAAGCGGCTGCTGCTCTGCAGGATGTCACTCCTGGCTTCCCTCTCCTGGGTTTCTTGGCACAGAGAATCCACCAGCTTCTGGCCCACCATGATGATGAGTTTGCTGTGGGAGATGAAGATTTCGGGGGGCTGCTGGTTGCTGAGGCTGGTGGTGAACACGCCGATGGCTTTGTGCAGGGCAGCGAAGCACAGCCTGCAGTGCTCGGGGAGGGGGATTTTCCTGGCAGGCTCCTCCTGCCTGCTGGGATTTTCAGTCTTTTTTGCACATGGCAAAACCTGGAGAAAGGGTTAAAATAAAAAATAGATTCAGCCTGGTGCCAAAGGCTGGTTGTTTCTTTGGTTGCTCTGCCCTAAATTCTTGTGGTCTTCGAATCGCCCCACCCTGGAGCCTTTACAGTAATTTGTCTTTCCATAAAGTGTTGGAAATTATCCTGATTGCCTTTTTCCCCCTAAATGCAGTTTTAATAATGGAGAGCACATGAAGTGCTGCAGCCAAACACCAATCCTTTACACAGTCTGGCCTTGAAGCTTCCAAATAATACAAAACATTGGTCTTTAATGGCCTTAATCAGGGTTATGAATGATTAAAATGCATAAGAGTCAATTTTGTGCCAGTGCACGACAAGATACTTTGAAATACTAGTTCTCACAGCCTTGTACTAAATGATGTTGAAAGGCAATAAAATGAATTGTATGATTTTAAACTGGAGTTGTTTGAGGAAAGTAAGTGCTCTTCACAGGTTTTCAGCAGTAATTCTGGGAAAATGATCTCTGAGAAGCAAATAGGTCTCTATGTATAGAGATGTGTGCCTGAATGCAAATTACTCTGAGTTTTAGCAAGCACAGAAATCAGGGACTGAAAGCCCTCATAAATAATATTTTCAAAGTCAGAAATACCTTTGGGTTAGACTCTGTACTCTTCTTTGCTACTTCTTTACCTGAAATGACTTTCTGTGCCTGTTACAAATTAAAACGAAAGCAAAGTTGAAACAAGTACGTAAAGTGTTTAAATATAAATGTGGTTTTCTCTTATTTCATGGGGAAACAACTACTTGTTCTGTAGCCTTCATGATACAAATAGAAATGGAGAATTTATTAGAAGGAGCTGCAGGTTTTTCCTCCTAAAAATGTAGTACCTGATCCTGCAAGATCTGAGACTGAAACCAACATCAACAAAACATTTCAACCAAAGAAATTTTAAGGACAAGCAGCATTTCTTTGGGAAACTGAGGGAGATATTCTTAGTAGATGCTTTAGTAATTCTAAGGAAATTCTAACAATCATCCAGAATTATTCTAACAACTAAATGTGATAATACACAGAGTTTAATTTCTATGCCAACAGGATTTCCACGACACCTCACGTTAGGAAGGAACATCTCTTGTCATGCCAAACACAATGTAGTGGCAGGAAGAGAACTGAGGGAAAAGGGAAGTAAGGAATTGCTAACTCCCAAAGAAATCCTGCTTCCTTAATTTGAACTGGCAAGAATGATAAAAATGTTTTCTTTTCTCTATTGATTAAAATTACTGCTCATTGTAGACAGTGCCATCCAGCACTGTCACAAAATCCTGGATCTACGTAAAGTCTGGAAAATGGGACATAGTGCAAACTAAATGTGGCACTGCTGAAAGGGTGAAATAGTGCTGATAATTAATAATAATATCTGCAAAGGGTGCAGAATACAGAGAGTGAACACCCTTGTCACTGACCTGTAACTGGACATAATCACAATCCTCGGTGGAATTTTCTTCTGATTTCTCCACAGGAACCCGGCTTTGGCTGGATTTCTCAGGAGCATTTCTCTGGAGTGACTCAATTTCTACTCTTCTTGGCACTGGGATTTGCTTTGCCATTTTGCATTCTGGGTTCACTTTTGGTTGTTTCTTTTCTTGCTCCTTCTCATTCTTCCTGAAGAGCAGCTTCCCATTGGCGATGATGATGGACACAAACCTCTTGATATCATCTGGAATTGTCCTGGCCACCATAACGAAGCGATCCAGGTCGTCAGGGTTGTTCTGGGGCTTCCTGAGCACCAAAGCCTCCAGGGACCAGCTGCAGTTGTTGAGAGCTTCCCTTGTTTCTGTCAATATTTTGTAGGAGTTGATGAGGATTTCCAGCTGTTTTTTAATTCTAGCCTGCAGGTTGTTATCCGTGAGCTTGGAGGCGTTTCCCTTCAGGCCTTGAGCAAAGGCCAGGAACTCTCCCATTGACACCTTTATGTGGTCCACTGCTCTGTGGATCTCCTCCAGGCTTTTCTCCAGGTGCTCCTGCAATCTCCACTTGCTGCTCACAAAGATCATTAAGCTGGCAATGGAGCTGGACACGCTGTGCTGCAGCCGAGTCAGGGTTTCGATGGCTGCTTCCAGCTCCAGTTTGACTTCTTGGACAGGCTCTGGTGATGGTGACAGCGTAGAAAACGACTCAGCAGAAGAGCTGGAGGATGAGGAGAGAGTGCTGCTTCTGCTGTCCACACTAGAGACACACAAACTGTCGTTTTCTGACCTGGCATCCATCGAGAGCTGTGGAGAAGCACCGTGTGCTTGGGCTCCAGAGCCATCACTGTTGTTTTCCATCTCCTTCTTGGAGTGCCCAGCAGTGGGCAAACCTTTGGGAATATCATAAACGTTCTCCTCAGAGATCTGATTCCCAGCCTGGGCAGGCAGGACACCGGGGGGCACCTCAGAGCTGCTGTTCTGTGGCAGGAGGAGCACGTCCCGTGAGGATGGAACGTCGTAAAGGGGCATTTCTGGAAGCGTTAATTTCCGCTGCGTCGGTGGGATGTCGTACAACTGTGCATTTCCAACCTTGGCTTCAGTGCTTGTGGCTGCTGCCTTGTACCTGGAGGGGGGAATGTCATACAGCACCTGCTTCTGCACACACTGGCCAGCAGGGTTTGCTTTGAATCCGGAATTTTCAGGGGATACTGGAATATCGTAAATCCATTCGGATTTCCGGGGATTGGGCAAAGTGTTGTAATGGCCCCAGCGCTTCTTCTGAGATTTATTTTCTGAATCGTCGAGTTCTCTTTTGGGAGGGACATCATATAACTGCAACAGAGCACAGAGGGTTCATAAACCATCTTTTTAAACAAGAATGAGAAACAGAACTGAATTCTCAGAGCACATAAATGTGTGCAACTCCATTGATGTCAATGGAACGGCACCACAGAAAGGCTGCCTGTGGTTTTTATTTTCTAACATGCACAAGCTGCACGTATAAAAGGTAAAATATTTGGAGCACAGGTGATTAGATCCTACAACAGAGTCCCCAGCCAGTGAAATCTGTAGACACTTGATTTTTTTCCCACTCACATGCACACCCTGACAAGCAATAAAACACCAACAGACACCACTGACTCTGCTCAAACATCTTCAGGGAATAATTTTTTCTTGATACAGATATATAAGTGTACAGCTGGACTCTAAGCAGGAAAAGGGAAATTCAGGACCATTTGTTGTGTAAGAAACAGTGGGGAAGAGCTGGGAAACCTGTCCCTGCTCCAAGCCAGGCATCCCAGGAGTGACAGATTATCCTGTGCCCACCGAGCCTTACTTACATTGCCTGCTGGTGAGTCCTTCTGGCTGCCAGCTCCTGCCTGTTCTGGCTTGGATGGGATGTTGTAAAGCTGCTTCTCCTGGAAGCTCTCAGTGGATCTGTCCAGCACGGAGCCCTTCCGTGTGCTGGGGGGAGTGGCACCACTCTGATCAAAGGGGGAAAAAAAATAAAAATAAAAGGTTTATTTTGATCCTTTTCAGAGCCCACTGGGCCCTTGGGATGAAAGGCTTTGATACATGAGAAGTTTGGGTCTGAGCAGGGATCACCCCCTCACACAAAGGGGGTGACCCCAGGAAATGTGTGGATAAGAATGGACTGGGCAGTGCCAGGGAGCAGCAGGGTCAGGGGACAGCCCTGGACTGCTCCAGTGCCACTCACACCTTTGTGTAGGAGGTGACAGGACAGGGCTGGGGCGGGTGGCTGTCCCATCCTGGTGACCTGCACAGCCTCAGAGGTGGAGGAAATGTGACATTCTGTGACTCCAGGGGAGAGGGACAGCACCAAGGACAGGATTGTGTAACAGCACACATCACGGTGATGTGACCAAACCTAAAGTGTGCTTTTCCCAGGAGGAGGGTGGTGGGGGTGACAATTTCTTGCTGAACATGTGACTATTCTCCAAACATCCTCAAATCACCCTGACCAAATGACACCACCACATTTCCTCATGGCTTCTAAGGCAGAGAGGTTGACACTGGTACAGAGAATTCGGTAGTGTCAACTTCTGTGCCTCGGAATCCACAGGGAAATCCCTTACTGATGAAAAAAAAAGCAAACAGGGTGACAGTAGAATTGACCTGCACATCTACTCTGAGGTGCTTCAGGGTGCCAGCTGCAGGGAGGGAGCAGGGCAGGACTCAGGACTCACCTGTGGGAGCAGGGACCTGCAGTGCTGCATGGAGGGGACATCATACACCTCCCCCCTGATGTTTGGGGCTGAAGCCCGGCAGACTCTCGGGAGGGTAAACAGGTGCTTGGAGAGGAGAAAAAATAATTATAAAGACAAAACTGCATTGGCAGGACATTATTGGAGTAATCACTCTTAAGTGATAAAAACCTTCAGCTCTTCACTGGAGGGGAGACACAGGAACTGACTTTACAAGCAATAGGATGTTTATTACCAAATAATTCTCCTTTGCCAGCATTTCTGGTACATTTTGGATAAGATCTGAACTGGCACATACATATCAAAGATAATCTGCCTTACTAACCAGAAAAGATTTGGAGAAAATCCAGCTGCAGTTATCACTTAAACCTTTTATCTGCCCAAAAGGAGAACCACTTAAAAAAGGAAGTGTGGAAATTTCGACTTCTCCAAGCCCACAGTCATTGGGTCAAGGCAATTTAATGTAAGAGCAGCAAAAAAGTGTTGGCTGAGCATTATTCTGTAGTTATGAAAATATGACTCATTAGGAAGGAGTAAACCTTGATGTCCTGTCCAGCTCCATAAACAGGGAAGTCCAGTATGGGAATTTTATCTTTGCAGTCAGTCGTGACCAGATCTGTGGGACAATTAATGTCACAAAACATGAATGTTGGCTCAGGACTTTTCTTTTTAAAAATCAACCACCAAAACATGGAATTCTTTTCATCCAGCCTGCCTTTAGCCTGCCTGCCCTCAGCTAATTTATAAACGTGCCATTGCAAACCACTGACCTCCAGAAACCCTGCTGGGGTGAGATACTACAGTCAGTGGTTTTAAACTGGAGGGAGTGATTTCCTTTGTGCAAGTCCTGCAGCAGCTAAACGTAGGGGAAATATGGTAGAGGAAAAAGAGTGCAGCTCCACTCTGCCTGGTTCAGCTCTCATCTGAAAACAGAATGAGGAGTGAAGACAAATCCCCTTAGTGCTCTGTGATAGAGAATCACAGAATCACAAAATAGTTTGGGTTGGGAGGGGTCTTAAAACCATCAGTTCCACCCCCTGCAAAGGCCAGGGACACCTTCCACTATCCCAGGTTTCTCCAAATGCCCTCCAGTCTGGCCTGGAACTCCTCCAGGGATGGGGAATCCTGAAAATGAGCAAACAGAGGCACAGCTTCCCTGAGTGAAAGGGTAAAAGAGAAGAGGTGTCAGGAAAACCATGCTTAGCCCAGGTCAGCTTCCAGATGGACAAATCTGAGAATCCAGCAAGAAGAAATCTCTTTGGAGATCACATCCTGGTTCTTTTTGAGGTCCTAGCAGTGCCAGTAGAACCAGAACGTGCCCTGTGTGTGAGGCAGAAGCAATGAGGTTTCTCTGTGGGCTCTGAGGGATTTCTTTTTGTTTCCTTGCTTTCAATCAGCTCCCTCAGAGACTCACAGTGGCTTTTCCCAGCTGCTCAGAGGACAGCTGAGTATGCCAGGAGCTTTGCCAGCTGTGCCACAGGATTTTTGGGGATGGTCTGGATCATTCTGTGCTCCCTGAGCTCCCCTGCCTTGGGGACAGCTTGTGACCACCAGGGTGCAGCTGGTGTGGGGACAGCTGGGACACTGCCACAGGCAGCCCCACTCTCAACTTCTGGATCATCATCAGAGGCTGGGACATTTCTTTTTCATTCTTCATTCTTTTTCAGTCTTCATTCTTTTTCATTCTTAGACTAGACATGGCTTAGGTGGATAAATTCATGAAATGAGACAGGGAGAGCCAAGGAGCTCTTCTGCCAGACCATTCATCCACATAATGAATAGATGACATTTTCCACCTGATTTGCTGGCACAACATGGAAAATTGATGCCAATCTCTGATTCAGTTTGCAAATGGCTCCTTTAGGGTCAGGAATGTGGAGAAATCAGATCACAGCAAGCACAAGAGTCTCTTGTAGCTGTACTCAGTTTGAGTTTGAGTTATGGTTGTGCACTGCAGCTGCAGAGCTGAAAATGAGGTTTTGGTCACCAGGGATGCCCTGAGTTTGTTGTTTTCCAGCACCCACCTGCCACCCAGCAGGAAGCAGCAATGAGGTTTCCATGACTGGCCTTCCACACAGCAGGAGGAAAGGTGGCTGAATGAGCCCCATAAATCAAACGATCATTAAATCAGCCTAAGCCACTCTATAGCTGAATTTTCTTCCTTTTCCTTTTCCAATTAGAATTTCTAATGTGATTTCCATACACAGAATAAAGAGCCACCCAGGGCTGGAGAGCTCTGAACAAAACCTCGTGCTTGAACTCTGTCCCCACCTGCTCTATTTCCCTTTCATTATGAAACATTCCCATTCATTTTTTCCTGAAGAAAGCACAAGGTTTTGATCTTAAAAACCAGCGACATGTAATCAAATTGCACGTTCCATGTATGTGTTTTGTTTGAATGTCAGACACGAGGAGCTGGGAGAAAGAAGAGCCAGACCAGGGAGCTGCAATGAAACCCTGGAAAACCAATCTGTTCTCTTCCATTACTGGGGGAACTGTGGCAGCTCTCCTCTTGAACACCTTGGTCAATATCTCAGCAGCAGCAAAAATGGGCTGGGAGAGAAACTGATTGAGGGGACACAACAAAACTTTGTGTCTTTCTGCATGTCTGGCAGGGGCTGCTGCTTTGTGCAAGCCTAGTGCCAGCACAGGAGACAGGCAGCAGCATTCTGAGCTTGCTGAGCTGCTGGAGACAGTAAAAACCAGACCAAACCTAGCAGTCACACACCAAAGGGTGATTTTTAAAGAATTAGGAATCATGTTCCTGTGCAGATGGATGCAAAGACCCCACGTGTGCCCAGAGGGCTCTGGATGGATGCGTGCTGTGGTCCGTCAGAGGAGAAAATTCTGTGTCTTGTTATTTTAATTTTGTAAATAATTTATAGATTCTCTCAAACAAATGGTATATTCTTTACTTCCTGCCCTATTTTACAGCTGGTTTAAACTGTCAGGAAGGTGAGACAGTGCAGAATATCAAGACTCTCATCTGTAGCCCGGAGCAGCATTTCTCACACAATGCTATAAATCGATGGGAGTTTCCTAAACACCATCATTCTTCTGCTGCAAACTGCACTGAAAATCTCAGGCTTTCTTATTTCCTCGATCCCAGTGGTTGTTTAAACATACCAAATTGGTATTTTACATACCAATGTAAATACCAATGTAAACTACTGCTTCCATTAAACTTTCTGGGCTTTGTGCAGTGCCTGCAAGAACATCTGCAACAAAGCAGAGATTTACCAAAACCCTCTTTGTATAAAAGTTTGAATCGTGGAACCACGTAGCCTCTGATCCTTTCTAGCCCAGCTATTAGGGCTGGAGGCTTCACTGAACTCGGTGATTTTATGCAGGAAGAAAATCTGGCCCAATTGTTCAGGAACTAAAAAACTTTAATACTAGAAAATAACAAACAGCAAGCCAAAGAGTTTGTATTGAACAAACTTGGAAGGATGGTACAGGGAGGCTAGCAAATGGCAAAAAATAGGTGTTAGGGCATGTCAGGGGTATTTATGAACTTGGAGGAGGGGAGGAATTAGGGCAGAGTTTAGGGAGGGTATCCAATAAAGAAAGGCGATTGGGAATATTAAAATTATTGCAGCAAAAAGGAACCAATGATAACAAGGGAAGCAGAGAACTTTCTGGCAATGATGAACATACTGGAACTGGAGGATTCTGGGGGTGGTTTTTTACTCACTACTACTGCAAGGGTTTTCCCACGGCCTTAAGCCGTGGCCATCTGCACTTACATTGGAGCTTCCTGCCTTCCACACAGAGCCACGGAAACGGTACAAAAATCACGACATGAATTTGCAGGCGATGTCAAACACATTGCTGCTTTCAGAGCTGCCCTGCCCCTCACCTGGTGCGTGGAGCTCTTGGTCCTCTCGCTGAGCAGCTGCGCCGCCAGGGCCGGCACCTGGTACACGGCCTGGGCAGGGACGGCCGGCGGCAGCACCCAGCCCTCCATCTTCTCGTAGGTGGCCGAGAGCGCCGCGGCCTTGGCCGGGGAGGGCACCTGGTAGATGGCGTGCGGCTCTGGCGGCTCCGGGGGCTCCGGGGGCTGGTGGCCGTGGGCCGGCAGCAGCTGCAGGCGGTTGGCGGGGGCCAGGCCGTGGCGGCCGTGCAGGGAGCAGCGCCACCAGCCCCGGCTGCCCGGCACGTGCTGCTCCAGCACCGTCAGGATGTCCCCTCGGCGGAACGCCAGCTCGTCCGAGCACTCGGCCTTGTTGTCGTACAGAGCCTTGGCCAGGCTGTGCTGGGGGACACAAGCGCCATTGTCACGTCAGTGTCACAGCCGCACCCAAAGGCGTCCCCAGCTTGGCACCTCCGTCTGCGTTTAACTCACCCGCCCCTTTCCACACCAACAGCCTCTCCCCGGCACTGCTTTCAGGGTTGAGCTGTGGCACTTTGTGTGTGCTACTGTGTGGACACTGATAGAGGTAGGAAAATGACAGCCTGGAAAATCACTCTCTCAGCTCCGTTCCCAGGCTGGTAAGTTTGTTCAGCTTCAGTTAGGGAGAATTTCTCCCAGGATGATAATTTGGTCAAAACAGAATGGAATTCATAATAGAGATTAACACCTAGTGTTGATTGTGGGACCCATTCTGGGCGTTTTTCCCAATTATCCAATGAGCTACTGTCCTGTCTTAGCTCTGAGGAACATGCTTTAAATACAGGTTATCCACTCAATAAAGATGATCTTTTTCCCCGAAGAGGCCCATGTATGTTGCTGTCCTTGCTTTCTCTCTCTCTCTCTAGCACAGTACCCACAGTACTGTAGGCAGTGGTGAAGAGGCTTTGCACCACCTAATTAGTGTTTTGTTAATCAGCCTCGTCTGTCTTCTTCTCAGAGCCAGGATTAACAGAAACATGGTTGAAACAGCTTTTCTCCTGTTCGGGCTTGGGTGTTTATTACACCTTATCAGAAAGTACAGAGAGTATGACAGCACTTCCAGCTCCTTGCTAGAAGTGGGAAAAATGGCCACAGAGGCAACTCCTACAAGGTCTTTTAAGCCTAAAAAGTCCAATAGAGAATTAACACCTAAGTTACTTATATTTTTGACCCAATAACTAGATTCCCATGACCCTTAGAGTGACACTAACTGACCAAGCAGAAACTACTGCCTGAAATCTATGAAGAAGAAGGAAGAAGGAAGATGAAAAGACAATGCCCAAAACCCTCCATCTTACTATACTATATTACTATACTATATTGCTATACTATAAAAACTTCAAATTTTAAACCCATCAGTCTGTGAAAGCACACACTTCTAATTCACTACACACTCGTGATTTCTACTTCACCACTCATATTTAGAAGCTTTCTCCAAGGCCTCAGGTCAAAAGCAGTGTTTTCCAGGGGGTCTGTGCCTGAAAGCACAGAAAGTTCAAACACTCCAGATTTCTGGGATCCAACATGCTACGTTCAGTGCAATAAAGAAATAGATAATAACAAGATTACTGTGATCTGTTTCTTCATCGCCTTTTCCTGCTCGAGGCTCTTGAAGAGCACTGCTAATCTTCATTATTTAGATTTATTATATTAGACTTAGATATATTGGACTTGTAAGAAGTTCCACCTCAAAATGAGGAAGAACCTCATTCCATGAGGGTGGCAGAGCCCTGGAACAGCTGCCCAGGGAGGGTGTGGAGACACCCCAAACCCACCTGGATGCATTCCTGTGTTACCTGCTCCAGGTGACCCTGCCTTGGCAGCAGGGTTGATCTCCAGAGGTCTTTTTCAACCCTAATGATTCTGTGATCCCTATATGAAAAATAGGTGTTTTCCCCATTGTCATTCTGTGAATTCTTCATCTCACACTGACTCATTACGAGATCACAGAATCATGGAATGCTTTGGGTGGGAAGGGACCTTAAAGCTCATCTCATCCCACCCCTGCCGTGGCAGGGACACTTTCACAGTCTCAGGTTGCTCCAAGCCCTGCTCAGCCTGGCCTTGGACACTTGCAGGGATGCAGGGGCAGCCAGAGCCAGCAGGTAGCTTTAGTCACCCCAGCCATTTGTGCTAAGGGTAGAGAAAGCTGGGGATGCTATTTTTAGGTTTTTTTCAGCACAAGATGGATTTTGCTCTCAGCTTTAAAACGGGGCTGTGTGCTTCCCAGTCAGCGGGACACTGGCTGTGCGTCAGCATGAACTTCTTATCAGAAAGTGCCAGTAATGTCCAGAGAGATAGTACCCAAATAGGAAACGTGATGCCTTGTATTTTTGTCCGGAGCATTTGCTGTGGCGGAGCAGCTGGCAGCAGCAGAGCCCCAGTTTGTCACTGCAGCTGGTGACAGGGACCCGCCGTGGCTGGGTGCTCGGGGTGCCCTGAACAATGGCTCTTCTGTGGGACAAGGGCAGCTGCCAGGGCCTCTGGCCTCGTGGCACAGCCTGGCTTTTGCTTTGAGCATGGGAGCATCCCACTTTCGATTGGGACAATGCCAAATGTTGGAGTCAGACCCCCAGGAATCCCCTGCTGGGGCGGGGCTGGGCTCTGCACTTAAAACCCAGGGAGAACAGCCAACTTTTCCTGTTAGTCATCAACTCGCTCCATCCTGGGGTCTGGATGCTGCACAGACACACTTGTGAAGGACAGACCCTCTTCTTCAGCCCCGAGGACGGTGGGCAGAGGAAAACTCTGCCCCTTTTCCAAATGAAGAGCCTTATCCAAGGCCAGGCAGGAAATGGGTGAAGGGTCAGGAAGGCTGGGCTCAGGATCTGAGCCTGGCTGGGGCACACACAGCAAGGCTGCCCTTCCTATTGCACCCACACAGCTCAGAGGAGCATCTCTCTCACACTGTGGTTTTGAAAAGCATCTAAATATTGACATTTCCCCTTTCCTGTGGCAACAACACGCTGAAGATGCTGCTGAGCATAGTTTTCTAACCAGAGGCACAAACCTCTCCATCAGAGGGGTCCCTGCTCAAGGCACTCATTCCTTTGGTTTGGCCAATAACGATGGGCAAATATCCCAGGGCCAGAGGTCAGGCTGAGGCAGAACACAGTGGCTCAGATTTTGCATTTCTGGAGCTCACACTGAGGCATGTGGGCTCACATCTGTAATCAAACTCAGGAACCTCTAGAATCATCCCAAATCAAACCAAGCAGGAGATTAATTAATTAATCAGTTAAATCATAGGGCACTCTGGGGAACCTGACCTAGCTAGGAAACAGATCTGTTCACAGATCATCTCATATCCCATCCAGAGAGCTGGAATGGAAAAATGAAGACTTTGACTAGAGGAGTGATGGAGCCAAGCCCTGACTGAACATGACTGAATGGAGAGATTGTCAGACCTCAAACAAGCAGAGCTCTTAAAAAGAAGAGATTAAAAAAGAGAAAAAACCCAAAAACCAAAAGACAAAAAACAAAACAAAGCAACAACAACAAAACAACAAACAAAAAAACCCCAGAAAAAAACAAACCCCAAAGGTTTTCCAGCTAAGGCAGGGCTTAATTAAATTCGAAGTTTCAGGACAAACACTGGATACTGTGGAGTTGGAGAGCACATCTTTGCTGTCCACTCTTGGTATTTCAGGGGATCTCAGGATTTCAGCAAAGTGCACAGCACCACAGGCAGAAGTTGCAGGAGTGCTTGCCCCCATGTCTGTGTGCAGGGCCATGGGTGGGGTTGTGTGCAGTGCAGCTCTGCACCATCCCAGAGGGATCCCTGACTGCTCTCCCAGCTCCCCAGGACATGTGTGAGGCATCACTGTGGCAGCCCCTTCCTCTCTGTGAGCACAGGCATCCCTGACCTGCCCCTGACTGTAAACAAGAGCTGCATTCCCAGGATCCAGAGCCCTTGGGGATGCTCAGGGGAGGGGGCTGTGCTGTGCTGGGGGGCTCTGGGAGCTGCCTTTTCCCTGTTATCCAGCAGAGCTCTGCCTGTGCAGTGTGTCCTCCCCAGCCAGGGCTTGTGGAGCTCTTGGGTGCTTTGTGTCCTTCAATAACCAACGTGTAAAAAGCATCAAAGCAGCACAGGTGATGCCCAAGTGATTTTCCTGCTTTTCTTGCTGTTTCATCCCCATCAGCAGCCTTGTGAAACCTCTCCTAAGACAAAGAACATCCTAAAAGCACTTTGAGAGGCAGTGCTGGGGCTCTGCTCTCACTGAGTGGGTTTAAACGAGCTGGTGGCAGAGCACAGACCTGGAAAAGAGGAAAAAATTGTCCCCTGCAGCTCCTCCCCAGGGCACTGGGACCCCAGAGCCCACAGCCACGCCAGGCAAAGCCAGGGGGTCACACCCCAAAGGGATTTACAGTGCAGGCTCTCTGGCACAGCTTCACCCCCAAAGTTCTGCTGTAGCTGAAGTGCATCTCGTTTATTGGAGTGAGGCTCAGATGTGGAGACAGTAATTCCCCTCCCAAATTGGACTTTTCACATCTTTGTTGTTTGCAGGTCCTTATCCAGCACTGGTCCCTCCATAAAGCCTTGGCAGCCCTTGGGAGTCATAGAGTGAAAGCTGCTGCCTCATGTTTATTAATGGAGAAATTGTAATTGGGAGCAGTAAAGCTGATCAGTGCACAGTTCTATAATGTAAAATTTTATACCCTCAGACTGACATCTGTGCTCTGTGTACACAATAGATATTTATGCTAAGGAGAGGACATCCCACTGTTTCTAAAATCTCCTGATGCCTCTCCTATCCCAAGCCTGATCTTCAGTGTCTAGGACCATGCAACAGAAAAAAAAAATCATTATAAAATATATATAAACATTGCTAGAAAAATCAAAATGAACACAATGATGTACAGCACGTGATAATTTGAACATTTTGCCCACAAGCCTCACAAAATAATTTCTCTATGCCCCCATCCCGCTCAGTTTGTATTTAGAAATCTCTATTTGCTATGCTATATTATTTCATGTGAACGGGTACTGCACTATTTCACAGCATTTCAGATAAAAAAAGCTATTTTTCATTTATTATCTTCAATTTGCTTCTTAACAACCCCTATTGCCGTCATGTAAATAATGTAAAGAGACAGGTTAATCCTGGGAGTTTTTGTGGATCAAGAGAAATATTTCTCATGTTGCACATGAATACATGTGTGAGCTCTTTTACTGCAGGAAAGTGGGATTTAAAATATTTGAGGAGGAAGAGATAGAGCAGCGGGCTGTGTTTGCTGAACAGCTCTGCTCATGCATCAGTGACACCTCTGACATGTTTACAGAGCAGCTTCCAGTTAATCTCTTCACCTCCCAGCAAAGCTGCAGAAATAAACATTTCCACCAGCCATTAGCTGGGAACAGG